GAGAGAGAGAGAGAGAGAGAGAGAGAGAGAGAGAGAGAGAGAGAAACTTACCTGCTCATTGTTGTTGCTGGCAGCCATAGCAACGAGAGAGAGAGAGAGAGAGAGAAACTTACCTGCTCGTTGTTGTTGCTGGCAGCCATAGCATCTTTCTTGACAAACCTGTGCATATCATTTCGAGTTGTAATTAAGTTCTGTGTGTGCTCATATCGTGTGGATCTTGCTGCCGCGATTCACATCTTGAGTAGGATCGATTTAATGATATCAGAGCTGTACTCTCGGTGTCCCGGTGACAAGCGCCCATTGTAGAACAGGAGAGAGCCGGGAGGAGCAAGCCTGTGCACGGAGTAGGAGGCGGTGTGCAGGTTAGAGTGCGCGCTCAGCAGTGGAGGCAATTGGCATGCACAAGGCGTGCAGCAATTGAAGGGAGGCGCTATTTAGAAGCAGAGGGAGCAGCAGGGAGAAACGCGCATGATGTAGTGAAGCGCTGGTGAGGAGAAAGAAGCGGACACACACAAAGGTGACAGCAGGAAGAAAGGGTGTGCGCAGTAGGAGCAGGGAACACAGGCAGCGGGACGAAGGGGCCCACATGGCAAGTGGGACACGATGTGTGTGCAGGCAGGTGTGTGTGTGCACGTGTGTATGTGTGTGTACGGGCAGGTATGAGCACAGCGTGCAAGGGGAGAAAGCCGGTTCGAGTGTGAAAAGGCTGGCTGTGTTAAAAAAATAAAGATATCGAAGGAAAAAAAGAAAAGAGAAAAAGGGGCTTTGGGTGTGAAACTCAGAGAGGTCTTTTGGACAGAAGTGCTGGGCATGATTGCACTCAGATGCACCTGGGCTGTATTGCGGGTGCGGCATTGAGGAAGCACTAATAGCAGTATGGCCTGAGCAGCAGAGGAAAGAACGGCCTTGGCTCAGTTGGTCCACTTCGGAACTGCTGAAATAGAGACCTGAATTCGAGCACAGCAGGGATCAAGTGTGATTTCGCTGCAAGCAACTGTGGAAATGTTGTGACCGGTAGGGAGAAGGAGCAAGGTTGAGCGTGGAAGGCAAGAAGCCGGCGTGCTTGGAAGAAGGACGGTGGGTGAGAAAGTTGACCATAGTTTACTGGGGGGGGAAAAAAAAGAAGAAAAGGGAGCGGTGCACCGTGCACGGTGGAGGAGAGATGTGGGCGAAAGAGATGACGGTGCAATCAACAAAAAAGAAAAAGGAAATAAAAAGGGATTTGGCAGGGGAAGATTGAAGGGAGTTGGAGAGTGGTGAAAAGGGTGTGAAAGCACATTGCTGCAGCAGACGTCGAGCTTGATCAAGTGGCTCAATGATATTAGGTAAGAGGAAATGTTCGGCGAACTTGGAGATGATGTATCCGACGCCATAAGCCTTGCACGATGGGTGTATGGCGCTGATTCTCTGTTTTTTGTTGGTCTTTCCCGAGATTGAGCTGCAAGAGTCGCCTTTTTGTTGCAGTGGCAGTAGGTCCTATGTGGGTAGGAGGTTTAGGGGCCAGCCTGCAACTGATAAAGTAGCAAGCATGTGCACTGAGTGGTGGGGTGCTCATTAAACAACGTGTTTAGCCCTAGGATCGGTATTAGTGAACTATATGTGTGGGAGTGCGCCCGAGGTCTCAACTCTTGAGGGGTTAGCATGCGATCGCTAATCACGTAAAGTGGTAAGCACATGCATCGAGCGGAGGGCGCTTGTTAACCTGTCTAGCCCAAGAACTGGTACTGACTGGCGAGCAAACCGAGTACATACAAGCTCTGACCCAGGGGACAGAAGGTTAACCGACCCCCAAATTTTCACCCCGATTTATAAGAAAACCAAAGGGCCATACCTGTTAACCATTTGTGGAGGTGGACATGCTACTTGAGGACTTCGCTAGGCGTCCTGAACTGCCGGTTGACCAAGATAGTTGTTAGAACTTATCCTTGTAGAAGAGTCTATCGAGTAAGTGATCATGGAAAGAGACGACTTAAAGTCTAGGGGTTGTGGAACCGGCTCTATACACCAACTGTTGTACGGACTCTCCAAGATGGATGACTACCCCATGTATTGTGTTTTAGATTTTTCTGTATCATTTCTCCATTTATTCTTTCCCAATATACCTTCCAGTGATAGACCACCTTAGCGGTAGGCAGACTTTACAACCAGGGGACGAAGGGTATGAAGAGCCACAAAAGAGAAGAAACGAAAGATTGGAAAGATGATGATGATGTTGAAGAAGGAAAAGGCAAGAAGAAAAAGGAGAAACAGGATGGTCATCCAATGGTGAGCGGAGTAGTGGAATCTGGGCCTTCTGTTGTGACCATAGATGACCACCTGGCGGAAGCGGAAAGGAAGAATGTGGGGGCGAAGAAAAGGACGGAAGAATTCGAGGCGGTGAGAAAGAAGGCGGAAGAAGAAAAAATATGGAGAAGTTGGCGGCAGAGTTGCCTGAGGAGAAATTGTTGTCCGCTCGTATACAGTAACTTCAGTGCCCTTAATACTAACTTGACGACTTTGAAGGAAATTGTGAGGGGAGGGTAGAGCAAGCCGTTAGAGCAAAATTGAAGGGTTTCAAGGGAGAGTTGTTCGCTATGTTAGAAGGGAAGTGGCCGGAAAAGAAGGCGGCGGTGAAGAGGCCCACCTGACTGGTCCTCAATCCTGGTGGTTTACTCACCATCATTGGGATAGAGGCCCGACAATGGGGTGTTAAAGCCCAAGAAAAAAACAAAGAAAGAAGACAATGAAGAGGAGAAGGAGGAGGTGGCGGAAAGAAAAAGGAAGAAGGAAGAAGGCCGCATGGATGGAAAGACAGACACAGGAGGAACCCCGTTACGAGGCCAGCGAAGACCATTCCCGTTATGAGATCAAGTTCCCTGACACGCATCATGGCAAACCGAATGAGGATTAGATGCATGGATTGCAGAAATACGGACTTCCATGTTCATGGAGTGGATCAGAACAGAATACCAGGTAATCTAGGCATGTGGCACGTTGAAGGGTGATGCCAAATCATGGGTCATGCAGCAAGCATTTGAAAACAATTTTGGAGACCGGCTAGATCTATACGACACTAGCAGATTCTGAGATGAGTTCACTAAGAAATTAAAAGTTAGGTTTAAGTACCAAAACGAGGGGATTAAGACAATGCATCAGATCATGAATATGCATAGAATCAATGGCATGGTGCAGAGGCTTTGATCTGCCGAATGGATGCTTGAATTGGGAAGAACGGTCGCGAGGTAACGCCAGAACAACAGTTTAATCAAATTCATCTCGCCATGCTAGAGTTCATTAGCATTGTTCCAGTCGCAGAGACTGGCTTCGGGTGTCACTCTGCTTGTCTTTCTCGCGAGTAGCATCGTCATTGTCGTCGCAACTATCCTAGTAGCGGGCCTGCGCGATTGCTTTCGCTCCTAGTCAGCATGAGTTCCTCTTCTCCTCCCCATTCCTCACCTCCTCTTTCCCCTCCTGATCCTTCTTACTTCCTCCTTCTGCATCCTCGTACTGCTGTTCGAACCATACAGCCCCTGCCTTGCTGTGTATCTGGCTATGTTCGCAGCCAGATTCAGACAACAATAGTAGAGAGAGAGAGAGAGGGAGAGGGGGAGAGAGCGAGCGAGCGAGCGAGGGAGCGAGAGAGAGAGAGAGAGAGAGAGAGAGAGAGAGAGAGAGAGAGAGAGAGAGAGAGAGAGAGAGAGAGAGAG